TTGTTTGAAGAAATATACGACTTTCGAAACAAGAGATTTTGATCTGTGTCATTGAAGAAAAGTTTAATGGCAATGCAAAAATGTTTCACAAAAAAAAAAAGTGTACTGCACTGCTCAAATCTATCATTCTGATAGAAGGAGAAAAATATTTGAGTCTATGAAGCGTAAATCTAAAATATGCTTTGGTCTTAACAAGCATTGTAGCCTCGCTGTCTATATTTATGAAACGCGCGTTAGTAGTAAATAGAATGTGCACTGATTTCGTAACAACGCATCATTTGTCAGAAGAAAATGAAAATTTTTACATTTAAATAGAATCTATCTAAGCCTCGTGGTTCTGTCACTTATGAGTATAGTCATAGATATTAGCATGAGATAAAATTCATGATAACTCATCGCTTGCATTTTTACAATTCGAAAATAACAACTCCCAATATAGATCTTCTTCATAGCGCTCGAAATACTTCATATGTAATTTCAAAACTGAAAGACGAATTATTTTTCTGAAATATTATTAATATATCGATTTTCAATTTTCAGTCCTTATCATATACATTAATAATCACAAAATAAAATTAATTCTATCCACGATAGTTTCAGTTATATTTACTTTCAAGAGTGACTGGTACGGGAAAGAAAGTCGAACCTTCTTGCTGTAGATTTTAACATAAATATATATATCAACATTGATTTTACTTTGTTGATAAAAACAAGAGTCATTTTCATTTCTTTCAAATGTATTGAAAAGTACAGAAGATATACGGTATTTATTTATATTGTACGTTTTCAAATCATCATTGTACTGTAGATAGTAATAAAAAAAATAATAAAACGTTATTCTTCTTATGCATTTGTTCTATATGCAGTAAAATTTACTCTAGATTCATTATCAAATAATAGTAGCACAAGAAAATCATATGTAAAAAAATTTATTAGTTTGTATTGCTCAAAAGAAGTATTTTTAATACTAAAAAATATCGTAAATGATTTGAATTCTTTCTCACATAACATCATGGATTTCTATTTCCTAGAAATTTAATTCAATAGTTTAAGAAATAAGAGCAGAACATTGATTTTAATGTAAAAAGATTATAGAAATGAAATTTATATTTGTTTGGTTTTGGTTATGAAATTTGTTTTCATCACTGTTAACTATTCTCAAATTCTTCATTGAATAATTTGAACATTAGCATCGATGTCTAGTGCAATTAAGTAATTGTTTTCATTTTTCTCTCTGATTTCTAAAATACATTAAAATTGACATAAGGGTGTAAGAATTCGTTGTCAACATTCAAGCTGAGCCCTTCTGATCTTTCTATAGGTTTTAGAAGTGACAAGAACATAGAAATAGAGAGTCAGTTTAGCAGAAAGTGACTGACAAAAGTTATCTTCGGAAATTTCGCAGTTTCAACGTAAAAATTGGGGAGGGGGAGGGCAGTGTTACCCCTTCCACATCGAGATCTAGTGAACTCTTGCAGTAGTGTTCTTTAATTTATATCATTCATCGGACGGATTGACAATATCTGAAAAGAATGAGTTTAAACTTGAAACATGATCTATCGATAGGTATCATATTCCTGTGATAATTAAAAAAGTGCAGATAGCGAACATTGAAAATTTGCTTCAATCAAAACGAAATTCTTTGCTATTCTCTAAAACAAAAAAGGAATCATACACTGAACTGTTTAAGATTCTATTCTAAAAGTTTTGAACTTCAAAAATGGTTCAGGATGTTCCCAATTTTATTTTTGTGTTAGAGACTAGTAAGAATTATTTCTTAACTAACCATGTTGATCACCAATATTTGATGTATTACTTCGATGTTGTATAATATCTTTAAGTTTAATAATTAATTTATCTTTTGTTTGTAAAATTCTTTGTGCTTTAGATTTATATTCATTCATTTCATATTCTAATTGATTAATTAAATTTTTTGCATGTTTTGTTTGTTGTTGTTGTTCATAGAATTGTAAATGTTCATCATTTAAACGTTTTTCAGTTAATTTTAATTGTTCTATTAATTGTTCATTATCATTATTTAAACGTTCATTTTCATTTAAATTTTGTTCTAATTCTTTTTCTAATTGTATTTTACGTAATTGTAAAGAATCAAATGATACGGATTGAATATATGATGAATCTTGTAATATATGTGTATATTCATTTTGTAATTCATCATATTGTAAAATTTTTCGTTGTAATAATTCATCAGATTCAGCTAAACGTACACGAAGTAATGCTATTTGAGAATCTTTTGTTAATAAAACTTCATTAGAATCTGATTCACGTGAACGTAAATCACGTAATAATGCATCAGATTCAGCTATTTGATGTTGATATTGAATTAATTGATGTTTATAAGTATGTAATTCATTTTCATATTGTTGTTTATTATGTATTAATGTTTGAATTTCAATTTGAAGTGTATCAATCAATTGTTTATCAGAATTATTATTTATAGATTCATTATTTGATGAAATATTCTAAATAATAATTAACAAAAAAAAAAATTAATAAAATAAAATTAATAATCGATTTCTATCTTACTAAAACAAGTTCTTTATTATTATTATTATGAGTTGTAACTACTGATGAAGAATCATCATGAAGAACAACCGATGAACTATTCGTACGTGTTTTATTGTTCGAAGATTGAACAGGACTTAATTGTTTTATTTCATTATTATTGATTGGTATTGAACTATTAAGATAATTCATAAGATCTGTTTCATCAGTTTTTTTTGTACGACGTATTGGTACTATTGTAGATCGATTTGTAGGCACACGATTCGTAATTGGTTGATCTAATGGTGTTGATGGAATAAATGAAGGTGTATCAGAAATAAATTCAACTTGATTTTGTCTTGTTGGTAATTGTGGTGTTTGTGGTGTTTGTTGATGAAAAGCTGCACTTGTTTGTTGATCAACTCGATTTAAAATATCTTCAGCTTGTTTTAATAACCAAGACATAATGAAGGGATTTGCAGCAAAATATTTCAATAGGAACTGATAATAACAATAATGAGTAACAACGCATATACGTATATATCAGAGAGAAAGAACAGAACATTTTAGAAAAAAAATGATTCATTCAACATGAAAATAACTAAGTACCAATAGATCAATGAACGATAGATGTCCCTTCTATATTCATTTCAATATATAATATACTTCATTGTTTTTTGAATTTAGCATTTAATAGAAATATCATAGAGACCTGAACTTTTCACCATTCAAAAGAGAGGAGTCGATATTTTCAAACTATTTCCATTTCAATTTAAACTTTTGATGGAACTAGTTGATAGAAAAAACTCTTTCAATCTATGCGTTAGTATTCAGTACAATCTAGAATTCGACCAAAAATTTTGGACGAATTCTGGCCTGAGCTGAATTCCAACTTCGACCATCATATATACATCAATAATATATTTTCTTTTGTTCAACAAGAGCAGAGGTTATCAAGGAACAATCAATATATAAACATACATATATTTTGTTAAGAAAAGAGTCATAATAACGATTTAATATGAATCAACATGATATTCAACTTCTTGATTTATCAAATGAAATATTATTTATTATTTTCGAAAAACTCAATTATATGAATGTTCTTTATTCTCTATTTGATATTAATAATGAACGGTTTTATATTATAGTACAAAATAAAATCTTTCATAAACATTCTTAATTTTGTTTTCATATCATTAATTAATGATATTTCTTCAATTTCTAATCGAAAACTTGATAGATTTTGTAATGAAATATTACTTCAAATTCATCAATAACGTCAAATGTCTCATATTCTCGAATCAATTTCTATAGAACATAATCTTGATTATCCTAATCTTACTCAATTTAAACTTTTCAATTTCAATAAAAAAAAATCGTGTCACAGTATTTCAAACGTAATTAGTTCACATATATTTATATTTGTTGACAAACTGAGGCATAAAAAGCTTATGCAATATCTATGTGACCATTGCACTATTATTCATCAATAATCCTCTAGCAGTATCATTGGAAGACTCATTAATAAGTACATTTTTGCTCTTCAACACTTACTAAATTATGTATTAATGTGCGGATGTGGGTTGCTTATCAACTCTCATCCAAATCCACATCTCAGAATGCATTACTTTACTGATAACTTTAAGATTTTAAAATTCGACCGAAATGTTGATCTCAACATATCCTTTCCGTTGATAATATGATTCAATGAAGTTAGCCAAGAAAAATACAAGTGGGCAGACTTGATGTCTTATAATTCCACGTCTCTCTATGTAACATTAGGACTCAATTTCAGAAACGTTCGTTAACTCCACCTTCATGTATTTCACATGTTGATGTGCACGCCGATTCTTTTAATAATGTAGCAATTAAAAATTCAAAGTTTTAATAAAAGATTGAAACTAGATGAGAATATCTTCTTTCTTTACGTCATTAGCATTTATCTTTGAAAACAATATATCATTCGAACAAAAAAAGAAAATAATAATAATAAATTTGAAGTTCAATAAAACGCATATATACTATCTTAGAAAATCAGAATCCATGAATATAATAAAAACTACTATTCTACGGAATATTAATGTTTGGTTTTTCTTAAATATAACTTTCTCTTCAATGTATTGATATTTCTTGGATAGTATCACTGGTTGATATCTAAAGACATGACAATCAGTGATTAGTGTTAATAATCGAATGTAAAACTGTAGCACCATTGGAAAGTTTTGAAGGTCAATTGATTCTGAGGCTAATGGCTGCAACATTATTGAATCGTCAATATTTTGACGTTGTGTTTCACTATTAAATGTTCCGTTATTATCTGTACTGTTTCTCTAGAAAAATGATCGAATTAAAAACAGAAAACTAATATAAATATGACTACCAAATTTCGATCTTTCATTGATCTTTTTTCAATATGGCGCACCCTTCTAAAATTGTATATGTTTTAAAAGGTTTATATGACGATTAAAAGAAAAAGGAATCGGGTTTAATTCTTACATTTTAATAATAATAAAAACAATAACACCGACTATTATGATGATAAAAATAATTAAATCTATAAGCCAATCTAAAATGAGAATGAAGATAATATGAATGTCATAGTCTAAAATAAAATACTCGATGACTTTTTGGTTTGTTCTCTTATACATAGTGCTTCACTAATTGTATTGACAGATACATCTTGACGACATTGAAAACATAACTGGTACCATGTATTTGGTGTCAAATTAGTCATATTAATAGTTGTTTGATTAGTTTCATCAAAAGTTCTTGAGTTTTCTTTCTTTTGAAAAAAAAAAGAATAATACTAATCAACAGAAAAATACTTCTATATTTATACTTGATTTAAACTTGTAAAATTATCATCTTTTGATAAATTTCCACGACAAAGTAATGGTAATGAAAATTTCTTATGATCAAAATGAATTTGAAAAGTAGTTGATGATAAAACTTGAACAGTAAAATTTGTTTTTATCCAAAAACCTACTAAAATTTGTTATTTAAATTGGTTCAGAAAAGAAATAGAATGATTTTTTTTCTTACTTGGTGTCATATCTATTATATACTCAGTCGAATCAAAATATCGTAATGTACCACGTATAAGCATTTTTAATCCCATTGGAAAAACACCATCTTTCACTGGATACCATCGAAATGTTAAAGTTTTATGAATATGATCAGTTTTGACTAATTCAGGTCGTTGATTATAAGAATTCTCATCTGAACTAAAACAGATTGAAAAAAAAAACATATGATACCATTATATTAAAAATATCTACGAACGATTGATAAATTTCTATAAAATCAAAATCATATGGATGTTTATGATGAATAGCAGATACCATTTCTGGTGTATGAATTTTACACTCAATATATTTATTGTCATGTACAATACAGTTTCCTTTACGTTTAATTAGATCAGGTGACGCTGAAACATATTAAAAGAGTTATTCTTATGAAAAAGTCATATTTTATTTTACGTACTACCAACGATAATATCTGATCGAACACCTATACTTTTATTGTTTACTGGTGAACAAATTAAATTAAGAATACCAATATAACCTGATGATTGAATAAAAATTTCCATAGCTGTATTATTAAGATGATTTTTATAGATTTTTAAATTATCTGAAGAAATTGTTGGTACTAAACTAATATCAAAATCAAGATTATCATCTTTGTATTTTGTACATAAGAATTTCATTGTACTTGTTGAATTTAATATTGCAAAATTTGGTTCTATTAACAAATAAATTTTGAAAAAAATATCTTATTATTAATTATTCATACTTAAATCAAAATTTGAAAATTTATATTCATCAGTACTATTAATCGATTTATATAATGTTATTAATAACATGAGCATTAATATTTTCATTGTAAATATATATGCCAAAGTTTGTGCAATCACTTTAAAAAGAAAGAAAGAATACATTCGTTTCAACTGTGTCTTTTCATTACTACAACTTTGGCTACCCTACTTTTTTAAAGGTCGAACCAGCAAAGGAGTATGAAAGGTATGTGCAAGATATTAACAAGTATGAAAATATTGATTTAAATATTTTATTAATATAAGCTACTATTCAACAAACAAGAATGCAATTCTTTCTTCCAATTGAATGAGTTAAAATATAAAAATACAAAAGAGCAAACTTAATTTATTTGTTCTTCATTTCTAGTCATATGAAAAAAAAAATTATGACGAATTATATAGTTTGTAAATAACACACTGTTATTTTAATTAAATAAATGTATATTGTTTTGTGAAAAAGAATCTAACGAATATTATTTATTTTTTTCGACTACCAAAAAATGCAGTATGCAATAATGGATCCATTGATTACTATAAATTAAATCAATAATAAACACTAGAAAAAAAAAGGCATCAAGTCTATTATATAGATGTCTGTATGGCAAGATTTTTATGTAAATAGAAGGTAATCATAACTTTGATGTTCGTTCTTTTCATAGAGAAAAAAAAACGTTTTTAAAGAAATAAGTTTCATTAAATAAATATACAAAACTCTAACAAATAATTTTATATTGATTGTAATAAAATACAGTATTACTTCAAGATAGCCGTTCTTTTTCATGATTATCTTAAGAATAAATTTATTTCCAAATAACAATATAATATAAAATGTATAATAAAAATGATATTTTATGACTGTAAGTTTCTGAGTACAAATAACAGCTAAAATGAGGTATATATCTTTATGAGTAATAATACAATTTGTTTTATCTGTCAACTCCTTTTATTGGGTATAGATCAGCGATGTTTGCTGGGAGAGGGACCCATGGAGAATTCATAGATGAGGAACATAATTTATATTTTCCTCATCTTATGATCTAAACAAAATTTTTCTCTGAAATTCATGATACGCCTTGAACCGATTGAATTTCAAGAGTTTTTATGCCATAGTGTTAACGATAGAGTTAGTTCTACGCTCCGGTAAGAGTATACATTTTCATGCTAATCTCGATTTTTCTCTTCTGTTATTCTTCTTTCATCGAAGTAGTAATAGAAGGAAACTTCATCGTTGTGTTTTCTTTCTGTATTCTCATTGACATTCCCATGTGTTCATTTAACTTCTCATCTATTATTCATTCTTCTATTTACTTTTTGAGTTCATATTCTCTTCAAAGACGTAATTTATACTACCTAAAAATATATGTGAATACTTAACAAGTTATGAAGTGACACTCTCACACTTTCGGCGAACAAATTGATTATAAAGGCTAGGTTTTGATCAAATAATTTTAGGAATTGTCGTTGAATAGTACTATTTAGAGTTCATTAACTTAGGAAAAGATTGATTGTTTACTGAGATTATATGAATAACGCATATGTTGTACACCAATCATTTTTTTGATGGATTTAATGTTCCAATTATTATATCTATATCTGCTTTCATACAACGATTCACTTTGCAATTTGAGTTATTTGATATGATTTTAACTATTCTAACATCCATTTTGACCAAAGAGAGAAGTGAAAATATTTATCGATTGTTTATATGGTCTAGTTTGGTCCTTCGTTTTTAGCATTGAATGCAAAAATTGACGGTTTCTCGTTTTGATTTCTGCATACTTAGATATAATGAAAATTCTTATTTATATTGATTGAAAAGAAAAAGATCAAAAACTTGAGTAATCTTAAAGTTTTCCGTCTAAAGTTACACTGAATTCATTTTCAAAAACACACTCAATAGAGTTAATGATGTAGAGAAATGTTTATGAGGCTGTACAAAAAAAAAATTGCGTAAAGAATGAACTTATCTTCTAGTGAGTAGAATTTGGTCTGACAAATCGAAAATAGTCTATTTATGTTTGATTCTTCTGTTATAAATGACAAAATTTTTTTGTTCATATATTGAATCAAAAATATCTTTGTAATCAGCTCAATTTCATCAAATTTGACATTATATGAGTTAATCAGTTTGAATCTATTGACTTAAAGTTTTCTGATAAATTTATTTTATTAGTGAATCTTGAATTATTGATAACGAGAGCATGGATGTGAATCTCTTTGTCACCTTTTCCATCATCTACACCTACACCCGTTGTGAATCAAAGTGTGCTTGTACTTATGGAAAACAGAAAGATTATATTTAAAAAAAACAAAGAAGAAAAAGAAACGAGTAAAAAATATTGGTTCTGGTTTTGATTAAGCTCGAAGAATCAAAGAAAGTTACGTTTTCTTGGTCTATCATGATATTGTTTAATTGTAAATCAGGCAGACCAAAAGAATTTTTATCAATGCTAGAAAGATAATTTAAAGAGAGAAAGACACATACAGATGAAAGAAACGAAGTATCCTTCGTAATAAGTAACTAAATAATTATAAACATTTTTTTTACGCATGCTCATGGTCAACAAGCGAATTATTAATAAGACTTATTGTACAGACGATAACATTTTCTGGAAATAAATATGGTTAGAAAAAAATATATATAATGCATCTTAGAAGTTTGATCCTAATCTTGACACTGATTGTTGCACGTGACATTACTAGTTAAGTGCAAGACATTATCTATCTGAGAACGTGTAAAAAAAACACGATTCCTTTGTTGTGTAAATTCTATTGACTTGTTCATGTTTAACATGCATTCTCGAATATCTAGATCAGAATAAAAAATAAACCTTCATTTTTAATTTTTTTTGCTCCGACGAATTTACAAAAAGTTCCTCTTTGGCCAGATTTTAGACAATTTTCAATATGTTCATTTTTATTACAACGAGGATGTGGATATTTGTAGATGGTCAGATGAATGTGGATCTTTTTTTCATCCTTACTCACACTCAGAGCCAGACTCAAACCCACATTTGCCAACACTCACAATCTATTGAGTTGTATGAAATCTTGAAGTGTGAAACTCGCTGTTTTCCCTTTAAAAGTATTCATCTTTTGAAAAGCTTCGCGTTTGGTTTTGTAGAAAATTTTGCATTTTCTACATTGGTTTTCAAGACAAACAATCAGTAGAAAGAATTCATGATTAAGTTTGCGGCGATTTCTGTTCATAGTAATACTGAACTTTGTCAGTAACTGGCGATAATAGTTGGAAAACAGAAAAACATATATGATTTTTCTCTAGGAAAACTCAGTATTTACTGATATACTAGAATACGGAACGAACTTTGTTAGGTGTAACCAACCATCAACAATTTAAGATTGTATTCGATTCAGTTAAATGGAAAACCCTGATAGAACTCCGACTGCCGTCTCTAACTGTGTTTCTGTGTGCTGTTTTTTTTACAACATTTGCATGAGAAATCTGTATAGTATATCGTTCTCGACCCATTTATTGATGATGCTTATTACTACTTAATCACCGTTTCGTGGTTGACAAACGACATGGAATACTATTCATGATTTTGTAAGACTAATGGGTATGAGTAAAAGAAATACCAACTCATTCATTCACTCACCTACATCCATCAATAATATTTGCTTTTTATGTGTTTAATTTTTCTTTATTTAAATCTAATATTTTGGACATTTTCGGTGCTCACACCATTAATCCATATTGCATTGACGTTAAATGAGAATTTCGAACTATTTATAAATCATTCATATCGTCTTTTTCTTAGCAAACTCCGATGCAGCTCCGTCCGGACTCCATCTAAATTGATCGTTAACGAATACATGGAAAAACAGTATAAATTGAAATATGAACATGTATTAATCAGTTATGTTAAAACAAATCACTAAAAATCAGAATAACGCAACCCAATGTAATTTATACTACATATTTTCTTGCTATTCAGTTATTTGATTCTTTGTCTCAAGATATATAGTTCATTTACTGAATAGTTCTGCCATCTATCACATTTTGTATCAACAAAAAAAACATAATCAACCAAACTTAATCATTTGTGGCATATTCCAAATAATATCATTATCTCATTTCCTCCACTTTTTTATTCTCTTCATTTATTATTCATATGCAACGTTTAATGTACAACAAGCTGTAACCAGCAGCGTTAAAACAAATGAGTCCATTATCCTTATCATTTGATGATGCTACTGTATCCCCGTGTTTTGTTCGATCGAGATAACAAAAAAAAACACACACGTGTTGGTGAAACAGTGTAATTGTTTCGAATAGTTGCAATCTCTTTACCTAATCGAATAGCTTCATTTGTTGATTTCATCAATAACAAGACAAAAATCTTATAATAGTGTGCATCAAGATTTGCTCCTATATTAGTTGATTCATTGTCTTAGTCGGTCTTAATTTACATTCATAAACTTTTTGGCTTGCACTCTTATTACACACTTGTTGCTCTTTACATGCAACAAAATTGATAGCTCGATCAATGAAGGCGTGACAAAAGTTTCTTGGTTCAAACGTACGTTGTCTTTTTTTCCTAATAATTCATCCCTCGATATCTATCTTTTTTGATGCTTCAAGTCAATTGATTTATATACATCAAAGATCATTAATCTCTGAATACCAATAGAATGGTCTAGATTTTCTAAAATATCGAAGATATTTGTGAGAAAGTATCCATTGTTTTCAGCATATATTCTTGATCCATTATTCACATTCTTACCGATTCTTGCTACGAATATCACTCTGAATACCTTTTTTTCCCGTTGTTCTTCTGTGTTTTTCAATGAAATCTTCAAGCTTGTTCACATCTTTTCTGTAGTTGACCTATTTCAATCAGCTGAGTCTGATTTCGATGCTTTTTATTTACCTCTTCTAGACTGTAGTGACGTATTCGAGAAGCTTCGACCTTAGTTTGTGAAATTTTTCGTGACTTCTTTGTTTCGTTTTCATTGAGAATCTATGCAGCACATTGCTTCTACTTATCATCGATCATTGAATTTTCATCAACTATCATTTTTTT